GGTAAAGAATACAAAATTGCTTGACAACCAATACGCGCTCGTTTTGACGCGCTACTGTGATTTCACGAACTAACACAATCTACTTTGATTGTGTTAGTTCGTGATGTGAGCGACGGTATAAGCATCTGAGTACGGCGCGATATGCCCTCTCCTAGAAACCAAAATAGGCTTAAAGATTCAAACCTAATATTATTTTAGCCATTCCAATTAATTGTAGCAATAAACTCGAAAAATGAATTGAATGTAAGTATAGAAGAATTTGGCTAAAAATGCTAAATTAAATAGAGAAAAAGTACAATAAAAACAATTCCTTTGAATTTTTAGCGTGGGCATGCAGTTATTCTATTATCTATAGTGTAGTTCGTATAAGTCGATGAAAACAACTATCACCAGCCATATTGGTTTCTACACTGTCGTCTTTATTTCCAAACCATCAACTTTGTAATATACCCTACATGCAATGCATAATTTGCAACCATTGACGGTCCACCACTGACTTTTACTAAAATGTTTACTGGCATGCATGTGTTTTGCCAATATGCATTTAATTCTAATTGAGCCATAATGGAAATAATTGGTTACAGAATATTGCTTGTGTGATAAAAAAATTGTAGTTTTTTATTTATTTTTTAATAATTTCAAGGTTTTATTTTTGTATATATTTAGTTTTTGCGCGATGAAATAGAGTGGTAAAAACCCACTCTGCTAAATGACTTCTGTTACCAATCCCCAAACCATCTAATTTTATTTTAAAGCATAAAACTGGTTTCTTTCTATGCAAAGATTGGATGTCAAGCTTTACCGGTGATCCCACAATCGCTGCTATTGATGTTAACGACTGAATTTTATGTGGCATTGAGGAAAACCATGTTTTCAAAACCTGGCAGAGTTTGAAAACCCCCAAGCTTGCAACCACTGCATCAATGACTCAAAAAAGTTTTATGTTGATAAGATCCATGATTATCTGTAATTCCAACCTCAATATATTTTGCCTTTGGTAAAATCTAATTCTGCAAACTGTTGTCGTTCCACCTTTCCATCCTTTAGAATCCTGGTGGTCCCATATCTACTGGCCCTCTTTCAAAAGCAAACACATTTGGCAAGCAGCTCGCATCAAACCCAACTTAAGATGACGAAAGTAGGGACCCTTTTGAGTACCCTTATTCTATGAATATTATTAACTAACAAAATTCGTAACCCGTAAAGTTTGTAAATCACTTAAAAACTAAGAAATCTAATTGAACCGACAATGTTCCTGTCATTGTTTTTACTCAATGTGCCTCAGAACTTGCACCTGTTATTCTTTTTTCTTTTTTTAAAAATTATTATTAACGTCTTAAAATCAAGAAATGTTTTTCATTTTGGTGCTGAAAAACAAAAATTCTTGATAAACTAACTCTCATATTCCACCGGTGCCTTCCGTTCTTCGTGGACATTTTCACATGTCATCCCGATTCTCGAGAAGGGTGATACGTCTATACGAAACTTCCGCCCCATAGCCTTAACACATCACAGATTTCCAAGTTCATGGAGTCCATCATCACCGATCAACTCTTGTCGCATCCGGAGCTGAACTATCTTCTCTCTAACCATTATTATCTTCTTTCCACCATTAAAATGGATAGAACTGCACCTTGAAATAATTATCTGATTCCATCAGCTTGGAATAATATGTCTAAATAATATTAACTTAAACTGGAAGGCGCATATTGTAGATATTGCAAAAAGTGCCTCTCAGATGATTGGTCTCTCCTTTTCCCGCTCCAATATCTGGGGTGGTTCTCCACCGTCTGTTTGCTGTTCTAAATAAAGTGTAGTCCAAATAAATCAGGTTTATTATGAATGAATCTCTCACTCTATTCAAACGCTTTCTTATCGCTGAAATCTGGCTGCTCTTTCCATGTTCTACCGTTACTCCTTTAAAAAATGCTCTGATGACCTAAAATCTATCATCTGTCATGTCTCTATTATTTCTTCCTGCTCTGTGACCCGGTCAATTTGCACAAACCGTAAGTACACAGTTGTTTTCTCTCTTTGTTTGCATTGCCTTCCACTTACGCTCCTTCATATTCCAAACTTTGATTCTCTGAAATTCCTTTTCTTTATTTAAGCTAAAAAATCTCATTAACAAGCTCCATCTAACGTACCTCTCTACCCTAATTCTAATGGCTTCTTTGCAGGGCCTCTATCATAGGTTTCCCTTCATCATGTGTCCTCTAATTATAAAACTCACTTGTCTATCAGCTGGTCCAGTAATAAAAACTTTACTCCACATCCAGATGCCAGTGGTTACTCTATCAGAACCACCTTCCCAAACAAATCCATTTAGTGTACTTTCCTGGTCATCCATCCAGGTTGGCGAGCACTGTGAAATACATTTACGTCATAGAGAAATTTTATCAGAATGATACATAATGCAAACATTTAATTTAATGTGTTCCTTAAAATTGAAATAAAGAGGCTCTATTAAAGTATAGCTAGCTTGAGTTTGACATTTAATGGGCCGATGACAGTAATGCACATTTCTGCCTTTTAAGCTGAAAAAGTAGATTAGTTGCGAGTAAATCTTATTTTGTATCCTGTACACATTGCTTATACAGTGATACATTTGATTGTCACATATATTTCGTCTCTTCTTCATCGAGTGGATGACTTAACCCGTATCGCCTCTATACTTACATTGTGGGAGAAGTATTTGATAAACAAGTTGAGTAAAAATGACTTTCCAGCACGAGACACCCCAGCAACTGACAAAACCACCACTGGAATATCTTTCAACCTGGGTTGCATCAAGATACTTTCTAGTCTGTCTTCATACAGTTCAAGTTGCTTATTTTTAACCTCCACTATTTGTACTGGATGCCCATCCACACAGCCTGTAAGCATAACAGTACATGATGATGTTATGTGCAGTGATGGCGCCAGGACTTCTCCAAGACGGGGTGGGGGTCAGCTTTCCCCGATCGGGGGTAAATGGCCTAATTGATTATACCTGAATTTTAGTAATTTTACATTTTATTTAACATTCTAATATTATATAAATTATTAACGTGTACGTATTTCACTTAGCATATTTAATGAGATTAACTCATAAATCGCAGCGTAATTTTGCTATGGGCGTGGTGTGTGACTACTCAAAAGAGGCGCTTATAGTAGCTACATGTTCACATCATTCCACAACGACAGGGGTTGAAATGAAGCACAGCATCGGAGTAACCCGCTAATCTTCCGAAATATCAAAGGGATCTTTAAAGTGCAGACGGCGAGCCAGTTGTGTACACTGGAAGTCCTTATCCGAGTAGACCTGGTTCTTCCAACCGAAATCTAGGAGAGGAGCGGTTTCAACCAGCACCCATGTTAATAATGATGTAGTTTGGCACCCTTGATACCGCTCGGCCTCTCGACTTGCCAAGGTCACGAAGAATGCGAGGAGGTGAAGAGGTAGACTTAAAACCTTCTAAATTTATTTATTTATTTTCATTTATTTATTTATTTTTTTGTTTGTTTATTTGATTTATTTGTTTGTTTGTTTGTTTGTTCAGGTTTAAAACATCAAAACATCAAATTCTAAACCAGCAGCAAGAGCTAAAGCGGTTGGATTACATTATCAATTTTTTTTCAATACATAATTTAAAAACACTGGCAAAGGCCATCATCCATTGAGAAAAAAAAAGGATCTTACAAAAAAAATTACAATATTTTATATTTAATAATTCGATTGAAATATTTCAGCACTTGTTGGGCCATCATGTGAGGCAACCCTGGTCCAGGCAACGAAGGAAATTAATTATTAAGGACATGGAAAAGCGTCTCTGTTTCTACGTGAACCGCAGTTTTCAGTAATGTTTAACCCCATTATGTATCCTGTTAGATACTAAGTGTATCGCACCCACCCTACCACCCTCCGTTAGACATATAATTTATGACACCCTTAATCATAAACTGCAGCGTACCACAATGGCAGATACTAGTCTTTGGCTTACGTAATTCATTGTACTTTATTGTTTCAGAGTCGCAAGTAATTCTGACGGCAGTGGGGAGGAGAGAGACATTTATAAGAGAAAGTAGAAGTTAGAGTAGGGGCAGAGAAAAAAAAACAACTTTAATTTAAAATATAACGCAAGCTTTAGCCATCAGTTGAAGCTAGTGTATTAAAAAAAATTATAACTAAATACCACGATAGAGTGACACTAATAATATTCAGTGTGATGAAACAGTAAAGTGTACAAGTCTAAAATGTCAGCGGTTAGTACAGCTTATTACGTACTAAACTAATACATATTTCGATCTTCTTGGAATACTGTTGATGTGGTAAATTTTGTTTAGTTAATAATCGATGTTTAATAAATAGGAACGTGGATCTAATGAAATTAAACCAGCAGACATGCATTACATAATTATGATTCTTACCAGACTTGCATACAAAATCACTTTTGCCATTTTTCTAAAAAAAAAAGAAGGAACAAATTTTTTTTGTTAAAAGAAACGCTATTTACTTCTAATGCCAATCATATAAGTCGTATTATTCAAAAACTTCGCAATTCTTAATAATAAAAAATAATGAGAACAACATAATAAGTAGGCCCACAAAATATTTCACATTTTCAACAAGATGAATAGTTCAATAACCTGATTTGTTTTTTAATTTCAAATAATAATTGAATACCATGACAATTCATTGGGGACTGGGCCGGCTTTAGTTTGTTTTCTTTTTTTATCAAGTAAACCCTTAACACTAAACATAATAGATATCTCTCCTAAAGCCACCACCACCACCACCGCCACCGCAACCACTGCCGCTGCCACTGCCGCTGCTACTGCTGCTGCTACTGCAACTGCTACTGCTACTCAAAAACACCTCAGACGTCATTTCCCGACGTCTAGAAAGCAAAAATGTCCAGACCACGTAGGGTAGTCTCGTCTCATCTGTGGATCCGCCCCACTGGCTGCTGCTGGGGATGTTACTACTACTACTACTACTGCTACTACTGCTACTACTGCTACTACTGCTAAAACTGCTACTGCTGCTACTGCTACTGCTACTGCTACTGCTACTACTACTACTACTACTACTACTACTTCTTCTTTTATGTTACAGTTAGAAGACATCAAATTCCAATATACAGGTTGGGAAAAATAATTTGATACAAAATGAACATATTAACACTAATTTTTATTCAGAAAAATACAATAATAATTAATTTAGTACAATTCAACTGAAACCTCTCTTGCATTGACCTACCTTGGCTACTGTTGTGATTTCAGTTACTGATGCCATTGCGCCACTTCTACCTCTGTTCCCACTGTCGTTGCCACCACCGAGATGCAAATACTCTCGACATGGCTGCTAAAGTTACACATTGGTATACAATAAGAATTGCAACATAAATTTACACATTTCCAAGATTAGATAACATAATCAGGTATAAGAAAAAAAAATAATCTAGCAAAACAGTTATTCGAAATATTCTTACCTCTATTTGTGATGTAATTTCAAACTTGACTTTATTGACAGACTCCGCATATAACTGAAATATAGATAAATAGTTATAGTTGCAATATAGTTTGTACATTTTGTTGTATTTTGTAATCGTGTTGCCGCAATAATACCTTTAAAATCATACCTGAAAATACTTAAGTAATCCTGCACATGTAACGTCGACGCCATCAATCTCTTTAGCTTCCGATATTTCTGATGAAAACAAAATCTTTAACAAGTTCTTCATCTGAACTAGGAATCTTCCAGTAATGTCTGAAAATGGTTGACCATAATATGAAAATGTAAGTCTGGTTAATTTAAGGGCAACGTCGTTCTATAAAAGACAGATAATAATTACTATTATCTTCAAAGTAGAAAAGCAAGAATATATTTAGTAACTATACTAATGCTTGGCTGTCTCCAACAATCTTAAATAAAAAGCGCATAACGCGCAGGTCATTGTGCCGAATTGCATATGGGCGTGGTCTGTGACTCCTATATTATTAGCCAAGCGCCCCCCCCCCCGGCGCCCCCCCATTCGAAAACTTCGAAGCAAAAAAAAATAGGCTAGGCTTATGCTTATGCTTGTGCTGTCACGGTTAACGTGTATTCGGGAATCTAAGAAGCAATATTTTCAGTGGGCGTGGCCACCGAAAATAAATTCCACGCCCCCTCATATTTTGGTCCATGCCCCCTCATATTTTGGTCCGCCCCCCCACCAGCCCCCCATTGTAATACTGCTAGATACGCCACTGGCCAAGAGGCCATAGTAACTTCATGTTGACATCATTTTACAGTCAGAGGCTGAAATAAACCAGAGGATCGTGATAACACTTACTCTCCGCGTTCTTTGAAGGGAACAAGAGCCCGATGCACTTGACATCCGTTTTTATATCCTAGGAAAAATCGACTGATTCTGCTCTACCGAACCCTGCGAGAGGAGCGTCTCGAAATAAAGTGCGATATTGAGGTTGTAATTGCTGTGCCCTTGCCTTACTTCTGGGCCACTCGACTGTTTTTAATGGACATATGTATTTTTATTTATTTGTCCATCAGCATGACGATGTGGGTTTCGGCCCGTTGCCACCCTGGCAAGTTGCCACCCGGCATTTTGCCACCGGTCCGTTGCCAGTCCGCCTTTTGCCATTCTAGGCCATTTGCCATTCTAGGCCTGTTGCCACCCGGCCTTTTGCCACCCAATCTATTAAATCTGTTAGTTTTATTCTATTCTTGTTCGCAGACCCAGGAATAACCTCCACTGTGAGAGATCAACGGAGATCCAAGTGGTAATATAAAAAAACTCATAAAGCACACCTTTCTTTTAAAGAGCAGCTTCATAATCGCATTATTGTATAATAATCGCGTTTACCATTTTTATTGGTTGCTTTTTAACGTGTTTACAGTGCTGTGATCATTGTTAAAATGCGCTTAAAGTTTTAGTTTTAGTTTTTATTTGGAATGACTTACGTGGCACAGTGGCACATATCCAAAATGATGGTGCATCCAAAAGAAAAAAATCAACAGAAAATTTAAAAGAAGAAAAAAACTTTACGGAACTACAAAATCATTACGGAACTGGAGGTTAATAGTAATAATAATGATAATAATAGTGATTTAATAATAATAATAATAATAATAATAATAATAATAATCGTAATAATAATGGTGGTGATGATGATGATAATAATAATAATTATACTTTCTTAAAATTAAACATAAAATTCTATTATATTTTCAAACCTTTAACGTCACAAATGGAAGTATCCCAAGCATCCTCTACTGGGCGAGGCATAAGGAAACACTTAATTTTTTCAAACACCTGATGAATGGATTTTTTTAGGTCTTGGTTTTTGTCCTGTTTTCAAAGATAAATATACGTAATTCTGCTGAAAAAATAAACATTAAACGAAAATTCTTTCCTAAAGATGAAAAATGTATTTTTTTTTTTTGCAATTTTAACCCAATATTTTGCTTTTACAAGACAAACAACTAAGTGCGAATTCATGTATTTCCTAAAATCAGATCTACCTTAAGATTACAAGTTTGAAGCATCAACTGTGACTAACCATGCATTTTGTAAGGAGTTTGATTCCACCATCTTTGCCAAAGTTGCACTCATGTTGATTCTGCCAATCCCGAATAAGAAATATCAGGGACTGGAAAAATAATGCATTTATAAAACTGTCGGAACAATATTATACTTTAAGAAAAAGTATAAAGGCTTACATCATGAAAAAACAAGAAAATAACAATAAACCCTGCAGGTACCAATAATCTTCGTTTGCACATACATTTATGATGGTAAAGTACATGTTGAATCTAATGTGTAAGCGACAAATGTTATGCTACTCTTGTTTTTATTGTTTGTTGCTACTACTGTGCATTTAAAAAAAAAACTTTAACTGCTAGCGTATAGTTTTATTTAAGTACTTTACATTTGATATCTATTCTTATATATAATTATATATTTTTTACTTCTAATTTGATTTCTAAATCGTAATTTACTGCTTATATATTTCATATTTTTAAAACGATTTTTATAAATGTTATTGAATCATCATACTATTATGGCACTCACAACCTCACGAGTCTACCTAATATAACTAGTTTTGCATTAATAACACATTTTAATAAGATGCGTTAAAGAAATTGTTAATATTCTAGTTGGCTTCGTAATTAATGGATACAGAACAGAACTGAAACAATTATTAATGAAACATTGTGTTTCCTAACTACTCACATGTTTAAAAAGGTCTATATTCCATTCACCACAAATGGGCAATTGTTTTCCATAATTTTACAAAATTAGAGAAGTGAGCAATAGGTATATTTTGATGTACAGATAATATTTGTCTATCTTTCGACAAATCGATTTATTTAAAGATTTTTATAACTTCAAAACATACAATAGGTCTATAAAAATGAAGAATCAAATTGTAAGTTAAAAATTGTCTCGGAATGATCCCTTAATATTTACATATCCCTTATATCTGTCTCTTATACACATCTCGATTACATTTTGAGTTGAATTAAAGATTTTATAGTGATGGCATGAGTTTTATAATTCATTTTATTTTGTTGAAGAATAAGGACGGTTACTATACTTTGATAATGGTTGATCCAGACGCTCCTAGCCCAAGCCACACAGTCAATCACTATTGGTTACATTGGCTGGTATCATCAATAGACGTGAGTTGTTCATGTTGATAATGATCAGGGCCTGTCTCTTATACACATCTAGATGTGTATAAGAGACAGATTGTAATGTTCATAACTTCATTAAAAAATATATATAAATTAGAGAAGAGATCAATAAAAATAAATCTATTATTATAGATAATGTGGAATGTATGTCTATCAAGTCGATTTAAAAAAAAGAAAAAAAAAAACTAAATATGTTCTTCTAACTTGAAGAGGCTTCTTGTCTCCTTTAACTGCGGTTCCATATCTAACAACTTGCTGAAGGAATTGCAGATCTGCATCGTTAATATTGGATTTCAAATTATAAATCTGCAATGAAATATTCAATTCTTGTTATATTGTTAAAAATAGGAAATACGGAGCATAAATGATTCATTGCATTTAACATTTACAAACAATTATAAAAATATATAAAAAGACAGTTTTAAAACATTAGGTTATGTTGCAAATTACCGTGGTAGAAGCAATAAGTTGATAAGGTATAAAACATGATAAAAGGAGAAAAACTAAAATGCTAAAATCATTGAGATTTAATTAAAATTATACCAAACATGAATTCCGATGATTGAGAATGCTAATTTTTATGTATGCGCGTTGGCGTCTGTGAGGTAATGTTCAAGCACGCTTCTTGTGCTGAAGACCCAGTTAAAATCCGGCTGGCGTCGGACTTTAACTGTTCGGCTGCTCGAATAACCCTTGTGATGCACATAAAATGTAATGGGTTTGTTCATCAATTTAAATTTATATAGTGTGCATAAAAAGTTTATTGAACGTTTATACACATACAAGTAGGCAATCATACCTGTACAGAACTTAATAACGTGCTAAGAGCAAATAATAGTGCATTCTCATTTGTCGTTGAGTATGGATCAGGAGTTCCTTGGGTGTCCATCAGTAAGACTCCAAACTAAATATTACAAAATTTTATAACAAAAAATGCATTAAGATATAGAGAAAATAAAAGAGATCATAGTAACCAACGGGATTAATTCTAGAAGCGCTCTCTTAAAATTATATATAACAATTTTTTTTGTACAATGAAGGTCTAAAGCTGATTTTACTACGCCAGAAGAGAAAAGAATTAACCTGTGCAGGGGATATAGCAAAGTGAAACAACCAAACCATTCCCTATATCTCTTGTTAATACTGTTCCTAAACCTTATAACCTTTGTAAGAAAAGACAATATGAGTTACCATTAGTCAAAACTAAACGATCCAAGAACTTCATTCCAAATTTTGGTGTTCTTTATGAATGGTAAAATATCCTTAGCATGATATGTGACAACAGTGCTCTGCTTTCGTTGGCTCACCAGTTATCTTCTTGATGTTTATATTTTCTTTAATTTTTAAACTTTTAGTGTCCGGTTATATGTATCTGTTTTCTTTCTTGATTTTTACAACCCCTTTTGACTGTGTTATACACTTTTGCTTCGTAGGTATTTGTGCAGTTTTTTGCGTAATATTTTTTCTGAATTTCAATGTTCCTATTTATTGTTTCTTATTGTGTTATCCACTGTAAATTTTTATTCAATTGAATTGAATTGAGAAACCCTCTCAATTGTTTTAATTGTGTTAAAAATTCGAGTAAAGACAAAATGTTTGTTACGATTTACCGCCCAGACACATGCAAAATTTTGGCAGAAATGTATTGTAGCACTATCCTTTTAAGTGTCTTACCATTAAGCAGTTATAAAGACAATGAATCAAGTTGCCTGCTGAAACATGGCTCAAAACGTGTTTTATTTATTACCAGAGCAGTGGATGCAAATTTTGTACATCCAAAACGAACAGTTTTGTACAATGGCTGTATACTAACTGGCTGAAGACTGAAAACCACGTGGTGGTTGCGACATCCATAATATTGAATCCGTGTGTGTGTGGTTAAAGTGTACTCTAAGGCCCCAGAAATTGTTAAGCCGGGCACTTACTGCGATCGATGTTGGTCGGCTGACTCGATTCTATCGCTGATCTCTACTATAATAGAAGGATTGCTCATCGGCCAATCATTGTACAGAAAACGACGCCATGTTTGTGGGCCTAAGTGACTTACCAGTTTCTTTTAGCATTTGTGTAAACCATTTTTAATAATAACGATTTTTGCAGTATTTTCCAATAATAAATTTAAATTTAACAAAACCAGGTAATGAGCAATCCAGATATTATAGTAGAGATCAGTGGAATATATGAAGAACATGTAGTGATTCTAACCATTTCATGTTAATTACATTATGAATATTCCAATGATTCGCTTGCCTGTTCCCACTGCTGACCGCGCGCGAAAACTCGAAATGGCGGGTGGCAACAGAGAAGTGATGATGAAACTGATTTTGTTATCGCAATGATAGACGGAGGAAAAGGGCTGTGAGATGAGGGTTAACATTCCTCAGAACTTCATAATGATTCAAAAGTGTGATTAATATAAACATAGTTTTTTTTTTAGTTCATATTTATTTTCAAGGCCTAGAGCTAGGCCTCCTAAGGGTAGATAGTTGGCCTAGCCATAACCTACCCTACTCTACTGTAATCTCAGGTAGTATCAGGCCTAATACTGGTAGAAAGAGGAGATAACTCAACTCTGCAAATCCTTTTTCCACGCATTGTCAGTTTTTTTTTGCTCCCTTGTCACAGACCTAAACAACTAGGGTACATTCCACAGAGTTGCATTAAATGGACTCGTCGGTCATCGTGCGCACATCTGTACATTAGTTTTAATAATGGTCGGGACTTTATAGTTAACCTTTGACATAAATTGAATCTAAGCCTTGCGATTGGTCCATCGGTCGCGAATTCGCTCGCGAATCCGAAAAAGTTGGTCTTGGATCAACTCTTGTGAATTCGCAGGCAAAGCCGCCGCGACCACCACGCGTACCGCGTCGAAGTTCGAATATTGGGCGTTCGCCTGTTGACTACACATTCGTTTGCATGTTCACATTGGAAACGCCAGTCGCGTCTTTGATTCAGCAGCGCGCGCCACATTTCGACGCGAAATTCGCTTGATCGCCTTCAGTGGGAACCAGCCTTAGGACTAACGATCTGTTTAGACTGCGACCGACAATCAGCAGACGCCGTCACGTCGTCTAACTCTCACAGGGTACTGAATTGGATTTGTCGCAGTGAGTGTCGGGCTTTAAGGCTTCACACGTATAAGAGAGTTTTGAACTACTGTATAATGTCAACATACCTTTGTACCGTCAGATCCATAAATGTAAAACACTTTACTCCACATCCAAATTCCAGATGTTCCCTTATTATCACTCCAATCAAATCGGTCTACTTTGCCCTCTTTATCATCCATCCAGTTGTCTGAACACTGCTTGGTCACAGCATAAGAAAAGTTGGTTACTAAATTACCTTCACTTTTAGTATTTACAATGTTAACTAAGCTTTAAAATCACCTTTTTGATAAATGGTAACCCCTTATAGTCTACGAGCAGCAGATCTTAAATATAGACATACCCGGCAATTTCTCATAACAAGCTAAATTTCTCAGGATAGATCCATAAATATGAGTATAATAACAGGGTGCGTACCTTTGGTGCGAAGGGTCTTTGGTGAGAAGGTCCTAATTTTAGTGACCTGGTTTTCCAGGAATGTATGCTATACAAATATTGAACCGTTTATCACGTCTAAGTGCTTTGCTAGCCTATAATTCAGAGACCTTTTCTTGACCACTGAAATCTAGGATGAGTTTCTGCTTCTGGAGTGACTCTTTAGTTTACATGATAC